TTTTTAGCGAGGAGAGACTGAGTTTGAGGGGTTTATTGAGGTTTTATTCCCCCCCCCTTTCCCCTATAGCAAAGAAATCCTAAAGTTTCCCATGTGCCGCAGCCCGAGGGAGGGTACGTGTGGGCTGCACGCTTGTGCTTTGCATTCGACTTGAGTGTATATTTAGATTTCTTTAGATTTCTGGCCCCCCAAGTGAGACCTGCTTTTGCAGCTCCCTGCGCCTTTTCCTGCCCTCTGGAAAAAAAAACCCCAAACCAAAAACACAAGAGCTGCTGAAAAAATAACCTTGTGCTTGAGGGTTGAGAAGCAGGAGCTGGTGGGGGCCTGCCGTGCCTGCTCCATTCCCCCATGAGGGTCCTGCTCCCACGCCTTGGTGGTGTCATTATAGGCTCAGAGTGTTTGCTGGCAGCAGGATGGGTTGTGCCATGATGTAAGTGTCACCTCCAACAGGGAGTCTCCACCAATACGTTTGGCATGGGAAACACCCTTGGGTGCGTAGACCCTTGGGGAAGAAGCTGTGGCTCTTTAGTCTTCACTGACAAGCTCTTGGTGGTTGTGTTGGTGTCTCAGGTGTTCATGGAGGCAGCTGCAAATGTAGGTTTTGGGGTCTAATGGCCATGGGAGAGTTTGTGGGGTGGTGGTTTAGGCTGGTGGGGTGCATAATGAGAAGATGGTTGTCTTAAAGGAGAAGGAAGAAGCAGGAAAGATCAGACATCAGGCAGCTCCTCCATTTGCCAAAGGGCTTGGGTGAGTGTTGGGACCTCATCTGCTGCACAGGGAGCTGGGACTGGAACCAGGAATTTCTTCATTAAAGGACTTGCAGCATTGGTATAATTTGGGGATTAAAATCCCTGCGTCTACCCTGAATTCTGCACACAAGGACGTCCTGGTACCTTCAGCAAAGGGGAAGAAAAAACTATGGGAAGACACAGTTGAGCAAGGTGATGAACCACTGCCTGCAGAGGGATATTCAGAACAAATGGCACCCCAAAGGATTGGGAAAAGGGGCTACTCCATCAATGCAAATATATCTTGGTGCTAAAGAAGTTGGGAAGTGCTGTGAGAGCCACCAAAAGTCATGTCGACACAGACCTCATGGATGATGCTCAAAAGGGCAGTGAGCGATTCCCCATCTCTCAAGATGGAAGCAAGGCATGATGAAGAAACATCTGGGGAGATCTGGGCATGGATGGATATTTCACCCGGGCTTTTAGTCAACACAAAGACAAAGCAACAAAAGGATGAATAGTGGGAATGAGGATGTGGCCATGAGTGCGGCCAACATGGAAACCAAACTAAGACCATCGCACCCATCAGCCAGGCGCTTGGGATGGCTTCCCCCCATGCTCAGAGGGAGCTGCCACATGAAATGGCAGGTCTGGTAACAAGTATTTTTAACAACTCCATCGAGTTGGGGGAGGCACCATCTGACTGGAGAATAGCGAATGCAATGCCTATATTTAAAAGCGGGGGGAGGAGGGGAAGAAAAGTAAGGCAGGCAGGAATAGGACTGTAAGCCTGACCTCGATCGCATGCCATTTCGGAACAGATTTGGAAGGCAAGAGAGGAAAATGAATCATGGGTTTGCCAAAGGTAGGTCACTCCGGGCTAACCTGGCATCGGAGGCCTGGAAATGTTGTAGAGCTGCTCTTTGTAGTAAAGATTTTGCTATGGGAAAGTGTTAATGAAGCAGAGTAGAGGGGAAGGGGATGAGGAGCTCTGTGAGGCTGGCGGGGAAGTGAGCAGCGCTGGGTGGTGTTGAGGGGACTTAGGGGATGTCAGTTGACCGGTGGAGCTCCCTGAAGATGAGTCATGGGCTTTCCTTCTTCCAGCAATGACTGACTTCCCAGAGCTGGGGGAATGGAGACTGCCACTCTGGGCTGGAGGCATTTGAGGGCTGGAGGAAGAGATGTGGGATGCAGTGAGAAATGGAAAGCCATGTGCTTGTTGAGGAGGAGCAAAGATATCTCCTTGGAGCTCAGGTCTTGCTGATTGGGAAGTAGCAGTGTGGAGGAGGAGAGGATGAGTGAGCAACATCAGGGTGACCATGGGGTGACTCTAGGGCAGCTGCGCCATGAAGGAGTAGGGAGGATTGCAGACAGGATGGCAAATCTCGGTAGCATCATGCAGGGATGGAGTAGAACATATTGAATTGCTTACTTGGGTCTCCTGTGTCCAGGGAAGATGAACTAAAATAGGGCAGGAGAGCCAGTCATGCAAGAGAGAACTGGAGGAAGCTTGCTTTGGCGAGCAAAGTAGAGGCTGGAGATGGCCGTGATTGCTGTCTAGAAATAGATCAGCATGGGAAACAGGGAGGAAAAGAGCTATTTCAGCCAAAGGCCAATGCTGGCAAAAGAACAGAGTGGTGTATAAAATGACCACAAATAAATTTAGGCTGAAAATTGGAGCAGCCATTGGAGCATCTGCTTGAGGAGCCTTCCAGTGGGGATAGCGTGTTTTTGGCAGTCAGAGTGGCTGACCGGGTACCAGATAATGGTTTGGAGCTGCTGCATCATGCCTGGGCATCACCACCTCCTGGGTTTTTAGAGAGCATTGGGATTTTTCCTGGAAAATTTAATCTTGGGACTGGGGGATCTCAGCAAAGCTGGCACCAGCCAGGAGGACCCATGTGGCTGCTCAGGGCAGTACTGTTCCTGGGGCTGTTGGCATCAGCCTGGATTGTTGGGACCCCCTCTGAGCTTGCTGTGGCTAGTGGTGTGCCCTTTAGTATGTGGGTCCATGACCACAGCTCCTCATCCCCTCCTATGCCCCAGAAGTGCCTCTCCTGGAGCTGTTGCCTGCTACTGGTGCTGGACATGTAACATCCAAAACCCCCTTAAAAAACTCTCTGATCCCCTTTACCTCCACCTCCATGGGAACTGGGTACCGAAATGCACTTAGAGGTTGGGAGTGGAGACAGCCTGTCCCATCAGGGTGCTGCCAAGCCCCTGCCTCAGGTCTCCTGGCTGCAGGTCCTCATTGCCACCAGCTTTGCCATGCCTGCAAAACAGAGAGGGAAGAGGTGGTCTGAGCGCTGCTGCTCGTATTGCTGGCTGATCTCATCCCCATCTCCCTCTTCATCTTCTCCTGGGATGGCTAAAGGAGGGGTGGCAGTGGCCCAGCTCTGGGGGAAGATGTTCTGTTATCCTGTAGGAGAGGAACTCATCTCTTTTGCATTCCCTGTAACAAAGACTTTGGGGAAAGCCTGTGTTTTTTGGGCAGGAGCCAGTTTCAAAGGCGAGCAATCCTGACATGGGTGGCAGTGGCATCTTGGCAGGGAGCTGAAGTCCAGCCAAGCTTGAGCTGAAGGTTGCACAATGCCTTGAAGACTAATGCCATGCCAAATGGTGCTGTTAAAGCAGGGCACAGTGGCCTGAGAATCTCTGAAGGGTGATGATGAACATTGGCTGTACAGGATTCCCATGTGTCATTCCTTCTTCCCTGCACTCAGTTCTCCCATGACCCTGAAGAAGAGGACTGGAGGTAGATTGGGGCTCTTGAAAGTGCAGGACCTTGGAAAGATGCATGTGGTTTCGATGAACATTGGCTGTATAGGATTCCCATGTGTCATTCCTTCTTCACTGCACTCAGTTCTCCCATGACCCTGAAGAAGAGGACTGGAGGTAGATTGGGGCTCTTGAAAGTGCAGGACCTTGGAAAGATGCATGTGGTTTTCCTTGTGCCAAAGGAGAAGGGTGATGAGTCCTTTCAGATGCTTTCTTCTCAAAGCCCTTATTGCTGCTCTGTGCCAGGTGCTCCTTGGCAATGGAGTCTCTGCCCACAACATCCCCTGTCCCAGTGCTGTGGTCGATGCCTGTGTTGGGTTGTGCTGGTTGTCACCCTTTCTGCCTTGGGCTCAGTGTCAGGGTGATGCGGACACCCAGCTGGAGTTCCCACTGGTGCCTCTGTCACTGGAGGAAGACTCCAGCGTGGCAGCTTTCTTTCCCCTCGGAGATGCACTTCTCCCCTTGCAGAGCCTCATCTCAGCTCCTGCACTGGCCGACCAGGAGACGTGGTGCCAATGACTCAGACAAAGATGAGGGCTTAATTAGCACAGGGAGAGGGGGGAAGAGAGAGAAAAGAGAAAGAGTCTTTCATTGCAACAAGATTGATACCACCTCCCCCAGACAGTCACGTTCTGCCGCATCACCCTCCAGCCTGGCGTCATGTGCGCTGTGCCTGACACTGGAGGACAAATGGGGCCTGGAAAGTGGCTGTGAGGGACAGAGGGGCACTGCTTTATTAAAACCCTTGGTGAATTAATGTCTGGAGGTACTGAGCAGGGCTCTCCAGGAGCCTTTATAGCAGTCGGGCTATGCCCTGCGGTTAGATCTCCCCTCTGATCTCAGCTCCTTGGGGTTTGGGATAGTGTATGCAGGGCAAGAGGATGTGTGCAATGTATTAGCAATGATGCCAGCAGCAAAATGCCTGTTTGAAGGTTTCCCACCGTGCATGAAAGGACAGGCATTGGCTGCCTCTCCTTTAAACACCAGCTTCCCTACCCTAAGGCACCTTAGGTATCTGTGCTCTGCAGGTATTGCTGCTGCAGGGCTGCTTTGACTTGTCTTGGTGGGCTGCACAGGGGACCACCAAATCAAGCTGCTGAGGACAACAAGCACAGGGTGGCCTCCTCACCCTCAGCACCCTGATTTTGGGCTGCAGGACCCTGCACTTCCAACTATACCACTGTCTTACAGCCCCCGTGTCCTTGCAGGGGTAGACAGAGAAGGCAAAGGAGAACAGTCCTGCCCAATGAGGGCTGAAGACTGTGAGGAGTGTGGCTGGGGTGGAATGCCAAGGGGTATCAGGGCTCTGTTGGTGCGAAGCTCCCCTGCAGGGTGCCCACCAAGGCTTGGCAGACATGACCATGTCACCCTGAGGAGCATGGTGTGGTCAGCCTGGAGAGAGAATTGCCACCGTGCTGAAGCTGACGCATCCTCCCTCTGCCTCATTGCTGGTGTTGAAGGTGATGTCACATGTGTTTTTTCTTTCCCCTCCAGACCAATGATGCCTTAGGAGCCACCTGGAACTGGCTGTACTTCATCCCCCTCATCATCATTGGATCCTTCTTTGTCCTCAACCTTGTCCTGGGAGTGCTGTCAGGGTAAGCAAGATGTGGTCCTTCCCCTCTGGGCCATACCTGTTGCATGTCTCTGAGCCCCAAGGTTGGCTCTGGTACTTCTGTGTCCCCCAGGACTCCAGTAGCTGGTCCTTCCACCCTCTCCATGCCTGCCTGCCCCATAGCAAGGGATTGCTCCCTGACTCTGCTTGGCTCCTGCTCTCCCTGGGGAGCTGGGAAAGGGGCAGCCTTGACGATGCTTTCTTGTTGTTTCACCTGGCTGAAGAAGCTCGTAGTTTTGGTCACCTGTGAGAAATGATCAGTGGGGATCTTCTTGCTGCTTGGGACTTGCCAGAGAGGAGAGACATGGGGGGAATCTTACAGAAATGAATTTGAGTCCAGGATGTGTTTATAGTGGGATGTGCATTGGCTGACTGATGGAGTGTGGTGTGCATGGGTTGGGATGGGTTTGGGGAATGATGCAGGGCACATCCATGCTGTGCAGGCTGTGACTGGGAGGATGTGCCCAGCATCAAGTGGGGGATGCACAGTGGTGAGGGTAGGGGTGCCTGGGGTGTCTGGTACAAGCCAGGGGCATAGGGACAATGGAATTGTCCCTGTTCTGCTCTTCCCAGGGGAAAGATGGTTTTAATCCAAGCCATTGAGCTGGGTTTGGAGAGAAAAAGCCTTCTTGTCTCCATGACAATGAACTGTGGTTGCATCAGCACATCCTTAACTGCTGGCAGGGGTTAGTGCATGGAGAGAGCATGACCTCCCCTGTGCTGGGAGGGGGCTGTGGGCTCCTCTACCCTTGCTGCTAGCAGCAGCAGGCACCCTGTGTCCAGCAGGACGTAATTTTTTCCTATTGCTCATCATGGCAAAAAACACCCCAAACCACCATAGCATTGGTTTGGCAAGGTGGAAAGCCTTAGATACAGAGTTCTGTGTGGAGACTGGCTCTGGTCATCTCTGTCCTTGTCCTGAGTTCAGGTATGATGGTGGTGGTTTCAGCAGTGCTTCTGGAGTGGCAGGTTAAGCTTCTTCAGGGTCTGTTGGTGGGCTGAGTTTCCCCAGCTCTCATTCTGGGTTCTGACTGAGTGCAGGAGCTCTGGGGAGAAGTACAGGAAGGGCTTCACACTGCCTTGCAGGGAGGGAATTCTTGTGGAGGGTGAAGATGTCCAAGCACTGGTGAGTGGCTTTTCTATTTCTTGTGTCACCTCCAACTTGGGCATTTGAGCAAAGTCCAACTGGGTGTCACTGTCAAGCAGGAGCTTTCCTACAAAAGCCCAAAAGAAGAAAAGTCAGGAAGGTCAGGGCCAGGCGGCCTGGAATGCACCCCTTATTACCATGTTGAATTGTTGCAGCGTAGTGTGTTATGTGGGCACCAAGGCTTTTGGTGCTGGTGTGATACTGAGAGCAGCTTGGGACACAGCAAGGCAGCACTGCTCTGGCCTGTAAGCCAGCCACTGGCCAGAGGACCACAGAGGGGCTGGTGGGATGCCTGGGTCATGCCCTGGTCCATGCTCAGTGCTTCCCTGCACTGGGACTGCATGAGGCAGCTGTTTCCATGCCTGATGCAGTTGTCTAGGGCTCTTTCCAGGCACTGGCTGGCATTTCAACTGTTTGTTTACTGCTAATAGGGTTTGTATTGGGGAAGGATGCAAGTGGGTGGGTGGCCTAATTGGCAATGGAGATGCTCTCGTGGCGTGCCAGATATCTAGGGAAAAGCAGGACTGCTCAGCTCCCCGGAGGGCTGAGCGAGGTGAGTGGAGGTGACAAGCTGGGCTCTGCCACCCGATGGCAAGGCCACTGTGTGTGCCCTCCTGCCTGGACACAGCCACAGATATCCTCTGTGGCTCAGTAGATGCAGTACCTTGGCAAGGGTGAAGCATCCAAAGCTGTTGCTGGAGCTGCGGAGAGTTGCGACACGAGGCAGGAGAAGGTACTTCTGCACACAAACAATGTATGGCCTTGAGTGCAGAAAGAAGGGCTTTGTTCCTTGCTCTGTTTGCTTAGTTTTTATTGTTTTCAACACTTAGCACAATCCTCTTGTGCTGGAAGAGAGCACTTGGCTCAGCTGCAGGAGGGGAAGGATGACCTTTCCATCCTGCAGTTCTGAGCTGGATGAGCAGGCAGGGTCTGACTGGATCCTCTTGCACACCGTGAGGCTGGGCTGAGCTGAGCTAAGAGATGGTCATTTTGGGAATGAGTTCCATGGAAACACCTTCATGTGAAGGAAACCTCTTCTTGGCATTACGGCACTGCTTTGAGGAGAGACAGGTTGTGCCCAGCTAGCTGAAATCATGGTTGCTCCATTAACGTGGGGTGCAGGGGTGAGTGGTGAGTCCTGGTCGCCTGTTTGCAGAAACCTAGTCCCATGTTACTTGCAAACTGCACCATCTGCATCGGTGAATAACAAGGGCCACTTGGGACTTCAGCCTTCCTCTCAAAGCTGACACTCAGGAGCTGCTGCCGAGCTGCCTCTGCCCTTGCTTCATTTCAGCAGTGGTTTTCTTTGGGGAAACAGTCAAACACCCGAGGAAGGTCCTGAATGTGAAGAGGCTGCAGGAGGACATTTGTATGTTTAACTTGCCACCAGCAGAAGTTTGCCGGAGCCCAGATTTAGCAATCTTCTGGTTGCGATGAGCATCTCTCCCAACAGTCAGTTCCCCAACTGTTAAGCTGAGGCATGACCTCCGTGATGTAAACAGCCTGGATCCATCTGCTCCTTAAGCACAAAGTATGTGGGAGAGGGAAAGAAATGATTTCCATCATACCAAGGCTCCTCAATTTTTCTCCCTAAATACTAACACACACACATGCACTGGAATTGCATGCGACGCTATTAAGAGAAGATGGAGCTGCTCCAGGCAGGGGCTTGGAGAGCTAGTTCTTCTGGGGCTTTGGCATTTATTACTGTGCCTATTAACTTTCCCCCTCTATGGGTGCAATTATGGATCAATTAATTTTAGCTGAAAGCAGGAAAGAAGAAAAAAATTTGGCCCTGTTCCTCTTTGAGAGCAGGTATGAAGCCCAAGGAGATGTGACTGCTCAGCTTTTAAAGCTACACAAGCTACGGAAATAATCCTGGCAGAAGAGAACCAGTGGGAACCAGTGAGGCTGGAGCATCAGCTGAAGCATCCTGTTTTCTGCCATGTGGGATTTAGGAGCCTGGGAAGATGCTGTGACTCATATCAAGTGTTACCTGATGCTGTCTTCTGGCCTAAGGAGTTGCATGTGCCCCATGCTGGAGATTTGCAAAGATCTGCTCTCCTTTTTTTTGTGCAACTGTTGAGTTTTGGGGTTTTTTTTCTCCCACCAGCTGTTTTTCATGTAAAATAATTTGGATATGCGTGTTTGGGCTGTATCTCCAGAGCAGCAGAGACGTGATGGGAGCCACACTGCCCCATCCCTGCTGCCAGTGTCAGTAATGCAACCCCAGCTCACCACTGGTCCTGTCCTAGTGACTGCAGAGGTCCTGCCTACTTTCCTTCTCCTGGCAAGAAGATGGTTTTGTGTCTAGCTTGTCACTGGAAGCAAGAAGATGAAAGAGGGAAGATAAAAAATAATCCATGCTTGGAGGTATAGCTCTGAAGACTCATGCAGAGTTTCTGATACCAGACAGGCTGTGGTTTGACTCTTTTCCATCTCCCTTTTCCCCAGCCTCTGCAGAGAAAATCTGGTTTGCAATTGCCCTCCATTCATTGCAGCATCATACTCCTGTTGAGGGCTGGTAGACTCTGTTCCCTATCCTGTCTCATACTTCCAGCCCCTTTCCAGGGTAACAAAGCTGCTATAATCATTGATATTCCTGGTCCACAGCAGTAGCTGAGTGGATACACAGGGGAAGGATGGGTCCTTAGGTCAGCCAAGGAAAAGACCTCTGGAAGCTGATGGCAGAGCAAGAAGTCAAGCACAATGGCAAGAAAAATGAAATCCATCTGCCTTGTACCAAACAAGAGAGTAATTTAAATCCTTCTAATTGCTTCCACTCATCCTGGTGATGCTAAGTCTTTTCTCCCTTTAAGTCTTTTCTGCCCCCAACCCCCAGCTCTTGCACTAAGCCTTTGAAAGAAACGACTAATGTTATAATTAAAGGATCAATTTGGCAAGATTTCTTTGTCTTAAGATCTTTCTTTCAGGTTGGGTTAGTGCTGCGTTCCCAGTCTCCGGAGAGTTTTCTTCAGTTCCTTCAGGAGCCTTCTGTACCATCTCTGAAATCTTTTCACTTCACTTAATTTGAATTTTTTTCCCATCCAATTTGGAGGCATAACAAATGATGAATAAAATTAAGTTTTATAGCAATTAATAATAAGGGTGTTGAGGGAACAAGTGTACATTTTCAATGGAGATAGGGTTCTTTTTGCTGGCTCTACACAAAAAACTGGGCCCCACGTGTCTGAGCGGTTTGAAGCCAAAAACACTGGGAAGTGGATTAATATCTCTGAGGTAGATGGTTCATGGACGGGAAAGTGGGAAGACATGTCACCATAATGCAGAAAGGATTTTGTGGGGATCATGAGTTGATAGCAAGATGTCAACAAACAAATTGCTTCACTGAAAGTATGGTCAGGCACTGGAGCAGGCTGTCCAGGGAAGTGGTGGAATCACTGTCCCTGGAAGTGTTCAAAAAGTGTGTAGATGTAGCACTTAGGGATATGAATCAGTGGTGAACACAGCAGGGCTGGCTTCACAGTTGGATCTGAAGATCTTAGAGGTCTTTTCCAGCCTTTATGATTCTGTAATTCTATGCCCAAGAAATAATGCATTGGCAGCATGAAAGCTTGGAAGCATTGTGTTGATTTTTTTTCTTTAATGGTTGTAGGATCTCAGAGTGGCTCAGATGAGATGTGAAATGTCAGTGCTCATTGTGTGTTTGGGACTCACTTTTGAATGGAGATGTGGGTGTGATGAGGAAGGGGGGCTGTGATACCTCCTGCCAGGTTCTCCAGCACCACCATGAGCTGTCTGTTGGTTGGGCCACATTTGGTGAGAAATGTCCACGCTTGTCACTTTGTTCTGGGGAAGCTCATTGTCATTGATGT